CAGCAGTTCAAACCCAACAGCTGGTACTTGAAAATCCTACACACACAGTCGCTATGAGTCAGAACCAACTCAGTGGCACTTAACAACTAGAGCCTCGACACACCACTACTACCACCATATACATACACACACACACATACTTCTTGTTGTTGCTGTTGTTAGGTGCCATTGAGTCAGTACCGACCCATAGCGATCTTATGCACAACAGAACAAAACACTACCCAGTCCTGGGCCAACCTCACTGCTGTTGCCACACTTGAGTCCATTGATGCTGCCACTTGACCAATCCATCTCGCCAGGGGTCTTCCTCTTTTTCTCTGACCCTCTACCTTACCAAGCATGATATCCTTCTACAGTGACTGGTCCTTCCTGACAATATGTTTGAAGTATGAGACACAAAGTTTGGCCATCTTGGCCTCCAAGGAGCACTCTGGCTGCACTTCTTCCAAAACACATCTATTGGTTCTTTTGGCAGCCCATGGGACTTCCAATATTCTCCTCCAACACCATAACTCAAAGGCATCAATTGTTCTACAGTCTTCCTTATTCACCGTCCAACTTTCACATGCATATGAGGTTATTGAAAATACCATGGCACACACATGCACACGCACACACATATATACATATTTCTGGAGTTCTAGTGTGGTACTAAGGAGCTCTGGTAGCGTAGTGGTTACGAATCGGGCTGCGAACCATAAGGTCAGCGGTTCGAAACTACCAGCCGCTCCGCTGGAGAAAATGAGGCTTTCTACTCCCGTAAAGATTTACACCCTCGGAAACCCTGTACAGGGTCGCTATGGGTCGGAACCGACTCGATGGCAAACAACAACAACAACAGTGTGGTACTATAGGATAAGCATTAGACCGCAAGGTTGGTTTAAGCCACAAGGCTGGTGGTTCAAACTCACCAGCTGCTCTTCAGAAACCTTATACAGAGTCACTGTGAGTTGGAACCAACTCAATGACACTTAAAAGGAACAACAATATAGAATTCTATGCCATTTGACTTAAAATTGTTTTTTCTCTCTCTTTATTTTTTATTGTGAATTGAGTGAAGGTTTACAGACAAGATCATCAGTTTCACATTCAACAAATCATACACTTTGTTGCCACTGTGCCAGTCCATCTCATTGGGAGTCTTCCTTTCTTTTTCAACCCTCCACTCTACCAAACATGATATCCTTCTTTTAGGACTGGTCCTTTGTGAAAACAAGTCTGCAGTATGAGATATGCTATCTGATCATCTTGGCTTCCAAAGAGAACTCTGGTTGTACTTCTTCCCAAACAGATCTGCTTGTTCTTTTGGTAGTTCATTTCCTTATTCATTGTCCAACTTTCACATGCATATGAGTTTACTGAAAATACCATGGCTTGGGTTGGGCACACCTTAGTCCTCAAACTGATGCCTTTGCTCTTGAATACTTTAAAGAGGTCTTGTACAGCAGATTTGCCTACTGCAATACGTCATTTGATTTCTTGACTGCTGCTTCCATGAGTATTGATGGTTGATCCGAGAAGAATGAAGTCCTTGACAACTCAATCTATTCTCCATTGATAAGAATGTTGTTTATTGGTCCAGTGGTGAGGATTTTTGTTTTCTTTATGCTGAGAGGCAACCCACACCAAAGGCTGTGGTCTTTGATCTTCATCAGTAAGTATTTTAAGCCCTTTTTGCTTTCAGCAAGTAATATTGTATCATATGCATATCTCAGATTGTTAATGAGTCTTCCTCCAATCCTGATGCAACATTTTTCTTCATATAATCTAGCGTCTCAGATTATTTGCTCAGAATAAAGATTGAATAAGTATGGTGGTGGTGATGGTTATGTGCTGTGGAATCAGAACCAAATCATAGCCACCCTGTACAGGGTTTCCAAGGCTGTAAATCTTTACGGGAGCAGAAAGCCTCATCTTTCTCCTGCGGAACAACTGGTTGTTTTGAACTGCTGACCTTAAGGTTCACAGCCTGATTCATAACCACTACTCTACCAGAGCTCCTTTGAATAAGTATAAGAATAATATCCTGGCATACACCTTTCCTAATTTTAAATCATTCGGTGTTCCCTTGTTCTGTCCAAACAATTGCTGCTTAGTCTATGTACAGGTTCCTCATCAGCACAATTTGGCGTTCCAGAATATTCATTCTTCGCAATGTTTTCCATAGCTTGTTATGATCCATACAATCAAAAGCCTTTGCATAGTCAACAAAGCACAGGTAAACATCTTTCTGGTGTTCTCTGCTTTCAACCAAGATCCATCTGATGTCAGCAATGATATTCCTCGTTCTATGGCCTCTTCTGAATCCTGCTTGAACTGCTGGTAGTTCTCTGTTAGTGTATGATTGTAGCCATTTTGTATTATCTTTAATAAAACTTTACTTGCATGGGATATCAATGATATTATCTGATGATTTCCACATTCCGTTGGGTCAATTTTCTTTTGAATGGGCACAAATACAGATCTCCTCCAGTCAATTGACCAGATAGTTTTCTTCCAAATATCTTGACGTAGGTGAGTGAGTGCCTCCAGTGCCACATCAGTTTGCTGAAAGATTTCCACTTGTATTTTATCAATTCCTGGTGCCTTGTTCTTTTCCAATACCTTCAGTGCACCTTGGACTTTTTCCTTCAGGATCATTGACTCTTGATCATACGCTACCTCTTGAAAAGGTTGAACACTAACCATTTCTTTTTGGTATAGTGACTCTGTGTAGTCCTTCCATCTTCTTTTGATATGTTCTGCATCATTCAATATTTTTCCCATAGAATCCTTCAGTATTTCAAGTTGAGGCTTGAATGTTTCATTAGTTTCCTCAGCATGAGAAATGTTGAATGTGTTCTTCCCTTTTGGTTGTCCAACTCTACATCTTTGCACATTTTATTATGATATTTGACTTTGTCTTCTCAAGCTGACATTTGAAATTTTCTGTTCAGCTGTTGTACCTCCTGACTTCATCGATTTGCTTTCGCATCTCTATTCTGGGCCTCTATTGTGGTCTTTTCCTTCTTTCTTGTCTTCTTAATGACCTTTTGCTTTCTTCATGTATGATGTTCTTGATGTCATCCCACAGCGCTTCTGGTCTTCATTCTTTAGTATTTAATGCATCAAATCTGTTCTTCAGCTAATCTTTAAATTCAGATGGGATATATCCAAGTTCATATTTTGGTTCTCATGGACTTGTTTTAATTTTCTTCAGCTTCTACCTGAACTTGTGTAGAGCAATTGATGGTGTGTTCCACAGTCTGCTTCTGGTCTTGTTTTGGCTGATGATTAGAAGCTTTTTCACCATCTCTTTCCACAGATGTAGTCAATTGATATCTGTGTATTCTATCTGGTGAGATGGATATGTATAGTCATCTTTTCTGTTGTTTAACAAAGGTATTCATTATGAAAAGGTCATTGGTCTTGCAAAATTCTAGCATTCGATCTCCCACATAATTTCTATCACCAAGGCCATATTTTCCAATGGCTGATCCTTCCTCTTTGTTTCCAACCTTTGCGTTCCAATCACCAGTAATTATCAATACATCTTGATTGCATGCTTGGCCAATTTCAGATTGAAGTAGTTGGCTATTGCTTTTGTTGCTAAGTGTCACCAAGTTGGTTCCAACTCACAGCAAACCTGTATGTTGTTTCCAAGGAGCTGCTGATGAGCTTTAGCCTCCAAAGTTGTGGTTCAAACTGGCCTTGCAGTCCAAACCATTAACTCCCAGTGCCACTGGCTTTAGTGGTAGTTGCGTAAATTTGAATAATAGTGATATTAACTGATCTTCATTGTTGTTGTTGTTAAGTGCCATTGAGTCAGTTCTGACCCATGCGAATGCTGTACAGGGTTTCCGAGGAGCAGCTAATGAGCTTGAATGCCACCTTGGCAGTTCAAACAACTTTGCAATCTAGTGCATTAACTTACAGTGCCATATCAGGACTCCAGTCTTCCTTGTAGGCATCTGGGTATTATCTATCACAGACAGTGTTGTACTTCAGGACAAATCATGATATATTCTTTTTGATGATGAATGTATCACTAGTCCTCTTCAATCTGTCATTCCCAGCATAGTAAACCATGTGATTTAGAATGACCAATACACGCAAGCAACCACAGTACTCTGGAAAAATCCATTTTTGAAGACTATCTATTTTTCAAAGAGACATAGATTCATCACTCAGTTTTTACTTTTTTGTCTCTTTCTTTCCACCAAGCATAGAAAGGTGTGGCTTAAAAAAAACAACAACCCCAAAAAACACAAAAAAGACAATACTATCCTACCTGTCAAATAGAAACTTTTTCCAGAATTATGCTTCTAAGTTGCCTTTAGATTTTAGAAGAATAACTTTGCAATTGGAAATGTTTAAATTTAGAATGTCCATCCTTTATAGCAATGCCATTTCATATATTAAGTATTTTCCTTTTGTTTATCTTCTTCACACAATTGGATATTATAAATTGATTCCATCAAGAGAGAAAGGAACCAAAATGTTTGACTGGATTGTCTTAGTGGAAAAGTGATCTTAACTTCTTGTTTGTCTTCATGACAGTTCTCCAAGGCTTCGAACTTTGGCCAAAGGCTTGTCTCCTGCATACCTGAGATTTGGTGGCACCAAGACGGACTTCCTAATTTTTGACCCAAAGAAGGAGCCAACCTTTGAAGAGAGAAGTTACTGGCAATCCCAAGTCAATAAGGGTGACATTTTATTTTTAAAAATTAACTATGCATTTTAATTAACTTGAGCTAGTCATAGATTGTTTCCTGAGAAAGCTTATTTTTCATAGCTAACAATTAATCAGTTGCCTCCAGCACCTAAGCAAAAGATGGAAGGAGTGGACAGGTTTCCTTTAATGCTTTCCTAAATTTAAAAGGTCTTACCAAAAAAAGTATGCTGGGCAAAAACGAAGGTTAATTTTACCGTAAAATCAAACAATAACTGTAGTTGAAGGAGAGAGCTGCTTAGAGGGGACATATTGGGCAGAAATGGGTCAGACTAAAGAAGGTATATTTAGCTAAGACACAACAATGGATAGACGCACATTTTATTATTTGTTCTGGAAATACAGTGTGGATGAAAGGTAAAACAACTGGACATACTGCTTCTAAGAATGGATTGTAAGCCTTGATTTATTGAGCAGTAGTTCTCCAATTTTATTGACTAAACATTACCGCCTGGAATGCTTTTGAATATTGAGAATCGGGCTTGGCTTGCTTTTTGTTGCTGTTAACTTCCAGTGAGTTAGCCTCTGATTCATGATGACCCAATGGTTACAAAGTAGAACTGCTGCAAAGGGTTGGCTTGGCTGCAATTTTTATGGAAGCAATTAACTTGATTATCTTTATGGAAGCAATTAACATTTTTCCATGGAGCCTCTGGGTGAGTTTGAACTGCCAACCTTTGGGTTAGTAACTAACTTAAAATCACATGCGCCACCAGGGCTTCACCCTTAGATTCCAATTTTAACAAGCTCCTCAGGTGATTCTGATATTGGAAGTCTGATCCTTACCCCCAAGAATTTACCCCGAGTCTTTCTAGTATTGTTCAGATATCAAATGTAGGGTTCATTCATTGTTGTTGTTGTGAAGTGTGGCCAAGTCACTTATAGGATTTCCAAAAAGTGACTGGTGGGTTTGAGTAGTCAACCTTGCAGTTAACAATCCAGTGCTTATCCTGCAGTTTGAGTATTTTTTATTATTACTAGCAACAAAACATTTAAATTACTGAAGTATTATTAAAATATTAAATATCATAGGTACCATTTAATTATAAGAATGTGTGCAGAATGGATATCTTAATAATATTTCATTAATTCACATAGTATGTATTTTTCTTATTTAGGTAACAGGGTGTAGTTAAAACAGTTAATCAGAATAGTAATTGGAAAAAATAGGACAAAAAGCAGAGTAAGTTAAATAACAAATTGGAAGCATTTACGTTTAGACTTGGCCCTTTCTCTCCAGTCCCATGCTTTCAAAAGACATCATAAATTTAGACAGGAAATTGTCCTTTACTCATCAGTCTTCTTCATCCTGTGTGGGTTCGTTAGAATTATCCCAGTGCCTCTGAGACATCCTTTATGACAACAGGGATGGATGAGGCACTCACTGGCTTACAGCCTGAATGTGCAGCTTACCAGAAAGGAAGTCACTGGCCGGACAGCCAGCCCTGGCATTGAACTTGGCTATGCTGCTGTCTTGTGATAAAGAAACCTGGCTGCCTGACAGAATAGTGGGGAACTTCCAAAGTATGCATGTTGTGGTCCCAGAATCTTTGATGGTAACACATTTAAAAGGAAAAGGTCAACATTTCTGTCCCTGCTTTCCATTACAATGAGAGGAAATTGCCAAAACGCAGATGCAGTCCAACTACAGCAAATATTGTTCAGCTACAGTAAAACCTAACAATGCCAGAATCTACGTAAGGTGTAGAAACTTTAAAAAGAAGAAAAATTCAAGTATTTTCTATTAATAGTGGTGGTGGTTATGTGCCGTGGAGTTGGTTCCGACTCATAGCGACCCTGCATAGAGTTTCTGAGGCTGTAAATCTTTATGGGAGCAGAAAGCCTCATCTTTCTCCCTTGGAACAGCTGGTAGTTCCAAACTGTTGACCACGAGATTAGCAGTCCAACTTGTAACCACTACACTACACCCTGTTAATGCTGGAAAATGTTTAATAACCAGAAAAATAAGGCAGTCCCGTTGAGTTCTGGTACTCACAGTTCTCCTTGTGTTTTGAAGATGAACCTTAGGAGAAAGAAACTGCATTTTATTCAGTAGCAGGGTTCTCTAGTGAATCAAGTTTCTGATGAGTCTATGAAATATTAAATAATTTGGAATTATGTCTAATGTACCTGTATTCAATATATGTTCAGTGTTTCTTAGGAAACCTGCCCTTGGTTGATTTTTGGGGTCAGTGGTTAATCAACAAGATTTGTCACTTGTAACAGAATACAGTAGTCTCCCCCTTATCCATGGTTTCACGTTCCTCAGTTTCATTCATCCACAGTCAACTGTGGTTCCAAAAATGTTAAATGAGAATGTATCATGTTGTAGCTATCCCATTCCATTACTCATATAACATTTATTATAGTGTATTGTTTTAATTGTTCTATATTCTTACTAGTTGTTGTTATTTATCTCTTATTATGCCTAATTTTAAATTTAACTTTATCATAGGTATGTATGCATAGGACAAAACATAGTACATAGGGATTTGTTACTATCTGTAGTTTCAGAGAGAGATATCTTGGAATGTATTCCCTGGGGATAAAAGGGAGCTACTGTATATCTTCTGTGATCTATGATGGCAGATCCGGTAGAAGTGCAGTAAGGAGCTCCATCAGCAACAACACAGAATACCAGACCAATCAGGCTCAGGGGATGGTGCTAGAACTCTGAACCACATATAAAGGAATATTTAGAAGTTTGGAAGGCTTACAGCTTGGAGAATCTGTAGCAGAATCAAGAAATCCATTGCTTTCTAATTCAAGACGCTCAGCTACTTCCGGAGCTGCCATCTTGGGAGAGACCAAGGATAGGAAAGATCAGGACAGCCACAAACACCTGACAGAACTATGGAGATACAGGTGTGGACATTATTTTTTTGGTATTGGTTCATTGGTCTCTTGCTGTCTGTGCATCTCCATTCTGGTGACTACAGGGGATGCCTGAGCAAATGAACACCCCACCCCCACCCCCACAGAGTTGTACAACGCATGCACACAGATCTCCTTGAAATGTAAAGTGACAGTTTCCACTTAAAACCAAACAGCCACCACTCATCTGTCAGTTTTTCATACTGTGGTGGCTTGTTAGTTGCTGTGATTCTGAAAGCTATGCCACCAGTATTTTAAATACCAACAGGGTCACCCATGGTGGACAGGTTTCAGATGAACTTCCAGACAAAGACAGACTAGGAAGAAAGAGTGACGAACTACTTCTAAATCTTTAGTCACTGAAAATCCTATGAATAGCAGAGAAACACTGTCAGATACAGTGCTGGAAAATGAGCCCCTCAGGATGGAAGGCATTCAAAATGTGACTGGGGAAGAGCTGCCTCCTCAAAGTAGAGTTGACCATGATAACATGAATGGAGTAAAGTTAGTGGGAGAAAAGCCCACAGGACCTTCATTTGCTGATGGGGCACAACTCAAAATGAAGAGAAACAGCTGTAAACATCCATTGAAAATCGGAACATGGAATGTACAAAGTATGAATCTGGGAAAATTGGAAGTTGTCAAAAATGAAATGGAATGCATAAACATCGATATCTTAGGCATTAGTGAGCTGAAAAAGACTAGCATTGGCCATTTTGAATCGACAACCACATGGTTTACTATGCCAAGAATGAAAATTTGAAGAGGAATGGTGTTGCATTTATCGTCAAAAAGAACATATCCAGATCAGTCATGAGGTACAATGCTGTCTGTGATAGGGTAATATCCATGCACCTACAAGGAAGTCCAGTTAATACCACTATTATTCAAATTTATACACCAACCACTAAAGCCAGTGAGGATGAAATAGAAGAAATGTACCAACTTCTTCAATCTGAAATTGATCAAACATGCATTCAAGATGTATTGCTCATTACTGGTGATTGTGAAATGCAAAGGTTGGAAGCAAAGAGGAAGGATCAGTAGTTGGAAAATATGGCCTTGGTGATAGAAATGATGCTGGAGAACGCATGA